ATATGTATATGTATATGATGTATATGTATATGTATATGATGTATATGTATATGTATATTTATATTTATATTATATGTACATACACACATACACACACACACAAAGTATATGATGTTGCCCGCATAAAAATTGTTATGACTTACAGATATGCTTTGGAAATAAATCATAACATTTTGCAATAATGCATCTCCTTCAAAAGTGAAAAAAATATTTCCTTACCATGCAATCATAACACCATTGTCAGTGCAAAGCTTTGGAGGTGGACAAACCAATGTGAAATTAGTAGCATCTGCTAGACGTTGCAGAGATCTACGGACATATTGGTTACTTGCGACACCTCCTGAAACTACCTGAAAACAAAGTTGAAAGAGAAACCCCATAATAGTAAATAGTCTATTAGTGCATGTCTTTCAGAATTATTTATGATAGAGAAAAAAGATAAACTTTTATGCTGTAATGTAAATCCTCGTTACCACACGGTTGGTAACTCAGTTGCCACAATACTTATGAAACTCAACAGATATACATTTAAATTGCTGAAATCATATTTTGAAGAATTCAGTGCTGTCACATGAGATTACTCAAGTTCTTGGAGAGACAAGTCTGCTGAACTGCTATGAGATTTGGCAATTATGAAAAAAATCCAGCCATTTATTTATTTACTTAGAAGCATGGATTTTCTGGAGATCTATTCTCCTTTACTCACATTTGGATTACACTACTATTTCTAATCCAGTCCTGTTAAAGTCCTATAAAATTTCCTTGGAAATCAAGACATTAATATTCTTTTTCTAATTAAAAATTCTTTATTTTGTTTCAAATATGCAGACGTGTCTGAAATTTTTTCTTAAATGAAGAACAATTCTATTGTCAACATACATGATTCCACAGAAGGTAGTTGTTGTGTTTTATTGAGGAGGAATCCAAATGCTCTTCACTTTATGTATTTTAATAATTGTAGTATGGAGCTAAATAATGACAAATGTACTAATTCATCAAACTCCAGGATGGAAATAGCCAAAGCTTCACAAATCAATAATGCTTGGTTCATTGACAATCTCTTCAAATAGCTATAAATCACAATTACATTAGTCTCTTGGAGCAGATAAAAAATTGATGAGCTTTTGCTTTAAACTATCATCTCCCCTGAAAGTCTCAATACAACAACATGGATGATTCTCCATGCTTTCCTTGATACTCTAGCCAGGGCTGGACTGTTTAAAATTCTTTGGATATTAGGATAGGACAGCACAGGACAATACAGGATAGGATGAGCCACAGTGATGCAGTGGTTAGAGTGCAGTACTACAAGCTACTTCTGCTGCCTGCCGGCTGCCTACAAGTTAGCAGTTCATCTCACCAGGCTCAAGGTTGACTCAGCTTTCCACCCTTCCAAGGTGGGTACAATGAGGACCCAGATTNAAGCTGAGTCAACCTTGAGCCAGTGAGATTTGAACCACTGAACTGCAGATAACAGTCAGCTGAAGTGGCCTGCAATACTGCACCCTAACCACTGCATCACCTCGGCTCTATACTTTCTGGAAAGTAGCTTATAGCAGTTATATCCACTTGAATACATATATAAACAGATGTAAAGAACTGACATGTGCTCATTTATATTGGGTGAAAGAGTGGGATATTGAATATTTATTTGCAAACCAAGATTACTTAAGTGGGGAAGCTGGGTACTGCACTTACTCCTCCACCCCCTTCTTTTTTGAGGGTATTATTTTCAATTCGGACCAAATATGCATAACATCCATTCCTTTTATTTCTGCAAATAGTTACCATTATGCCACTGGAGTCCTCATTAAAAACTTTTTGAAAATGACATTCATTTTGTTCCAAATAATTTAAAAATGCCAAACATCATACTGCTAGATTTATTGCTGGCACTTTGATGAAAGCGTCTTTTACTTGTTCTGAGATATCAGTTCCAAGTGGAGCTCTAAATGATAACATAAAACACTATAATTAAACACATAACACAAATTCAAGAATGTAGAGTTAATCATATATTACAAATATTTGCATCTATGGCTTCTCTAAGACCCTCTCACATATAATGAAAACAAAAATTTATACAATTGAATAAACCACATTGAAACAATACATACACCTCTCTATTTTACAATTTACAAACTCAGTTTACAATTTATGCAAATACCTTTGTGTCATTCAACATACCAACTGGTGCTAGCACTATTTTACCACTGAACACCATTACAACTTTTGATAAAGGCATTTCTTTCTCAAATAATAATTATATTATTTTTACTAGTTTCGCAAAAGAAATACTTTACAATTTTGAACATTATGTAGGGAAAATAATCTGATTTATTTATTAGTTTATTAAATCTATCGGCCACCCATCTTATCAGAGGGTAAGTCTTTAAAAATCTATCTGATAAGGGAAGAACATATTCTGTACCAAATAATTATTAATCATATGTAATAATTGTGCAAAAATAAACTTGGCATGTTTTCCTAATATTACAAGCTTTTTAGATAACATTCAAATGCTCCGGATCAAATATGGAACATTCTATCTAAAGGAAAAACAAACTGTCAACCTAGAACCTAGACTAAGGAAAGGGATAGCAATTTATGTGTAACCCTGAACAGGCCTTTCTTTTAGGAAAATATATTATCTTAGCCTTCCCCAGTCTCATGCTTTGTAGATGTACAATGGCTAAAGAAGTTGAGTTCCAACATAGCTTGGAGATTCCAAAGGGAAATGATTTGGAGGTACATTTTTAAAGAATGCAATATATACCACCTTTTTAAATCCCAATTTTTTTCTAATTTTGAGCAGCATATAGACAATAAAGCAGACCAAGAAAAGTTCAATGAAATAATTTACTACTTACTTTGGTTCATATCTGAAATGTTCTACATTATGAAAGATATCTAATCCTGCAGAAAGCTTTTCAATTCCATTCCTATAAACGAAATATTTATGCAAGTACCATAAGTAAAACTATTTCATTTCTCTGTTATCTTACAATGAATACAAAGATTTATCACACTGGCCACAAAAAAAGTATTGGCAGTCTTTAACCATACTGTCTTATTGTCCATTAGATATTATTCTTGTTACCGTATTTTTCAGAGTATAAGACGCACCTTTTTTCCTCAAAAAAGAGGCTGGAAATCTGGGTGAGTCTTATACATCGAATACAGCATTTTTTGCCTCCTGAAGCCCTGCCCCTTCACCAAAATGGCCGTGCATAGTCTTATGGAGGCTTTCAGAGAGTTCCTGGGGGCTGGGGAGGGCAGAAATAAGCAAAAAACTGGCCATTTTTTGCCCCCCCCCCCCAGCAGCACTCTATAAGCCTCCATAAGGCTATGAAGGCAATTTTTTTTTGACAAAAAACAGGCTCATTTTCATGAAAAATGGCCCATATTTTGCTCGTTTTTGCCCCTCCACCACCCCATGAGCACTCTGCAACCCACCCACCCCCAGGCTATTCATGCTTTTTATTGAAAAAAAAAAACCAGGCCCGTTTTCGTGAAAAACGCGCCATTTTGGGGAGGTTTTCAGAGTGCAAAAACTTTTTTTTTCCCTTTTGGAAAGCTCTTTAACTGATTGATGAGAATTACATTGATCACGTTCTGTGCCAGGAGAAACAAAGTCTTAGGGGCTGCAGATTGTTAGCAATTTCCTTCTCCAGCACATGGATAAATACACCTGGAAACATCTACCTATCTACCTACCTACCTACCTACCTACTCTCTCTCACTCCCTACCTACCTACTGTATTTCTCTCCCCCCCTTAATCTACCTACCTACCTAACTACTCTCTCTCTCCCTACCTATCTACTGTATTTCTCTTTTTTCTCTCCCTCTCTATCCCTCTATCTATCTACCTACCTTTTTTAAATTTGCCTCTTCAAAACCTTGGTGTGTCTTATACTCCGATGTGTCTTATACTCCAAAAATACGGTAATCTAATTATTTTGACTATAAGAAGGAACCTGAGGCATCTTTCTTGCAATATAAACCTCTGATTTCTTCACTTTTTTTTTATCAAAAAAGGCAAAGACAGCACTCATTTCCTGGAAAACTATGATGCTGGGAGAAGTCTTGGTGCATAATGATTTATAGGTATTTACCAATTCCATATAGGAAATGCATCTCAAATATTTAGTTTCAGCAGCCCAGCAGTCATTCACCCGTAAAACCCACCCCAGGGATGCTTCGGGACCTGTCTCTCCCTCATCCCAGAATTCCACAATCCCATCATGCACCACTTGAGGCTCTTTGGATCTCATTTTATGGAAGGAGGGCAGGCCATGTGTCCTCAGCCTGCACAGTGGCAATCCAAATGTGGCTGCCATTTTGCCTTGCCCTCTTGTGGCAAAATGGCAGCTGCCAGACAAAATGCTTTACAGGTCTGCACAGTGCTGCAGAAGATTTTGACCGCTGCAGAAAGCTTCTGCAGCACTGTCCAGAGCTTGCTAAGGCAGCAAAATGAAGCAGTTTGTCCTGAGCCATGTGGCAGCCACCCAAATGCAGCTGCAATTTTGTGGGCGGGAAAAATGGCGGCCACTTTCAGAATCTTACCATGCGGCTGCACAAAGAAGCAAGTTATTCCAGCACTCTGGAAGGCCTTGGAACTCTTCAAAAGGTAATTGAAAGGTGAGTGAGAAGAATGTTTAATCTGGTATGGTTGGAATTAGGCCTAAGATGATGGAGGGTGGGAGTGGGAAAACTCCTGTCAGGACCCAAAGAGGGAGAAGTGAAGCATGGACATCTCAAGGGTGTAGGAAGCCTTCGGAGGGCCAGGGCAGGAGGGTCTGGGCCTGTGCTAGGCTTACAACTGTCTCCTCAACCAGAGGGTACCGCACACTCCACTTAACAACCCACATGTTAGTTTAATGATTCATTGAAGAGAGCAGGGATGGGGGGGGGGGTTGTTTGGTGAAACATTTCATTACAAGACTGTTATGACATGTGATCATAATGGGCAGGTTCCATTACAGTTGTATCTGAAGGACTATCTGTTCCCCATATATATATATATAT